GGATGGATGATGGATAGATGGATGGATTGATGGTTGAATGGATGGATTGATGGTTGAATGGATGGATGTTTGGATGATGGATGGATGAATGGATAGTTGGATGGATGAATGGATGGATGAATGGATAGTTGGATGGATGATGGATGGATGGATGATGGTTGATGTTTGGATGGATGATGGATGGATGAATGGATAGTTGGATGGATGGATGAGTGGATAGTTGGATGGATGATGGATGGATGGTTGGATGATGGTTGATGTTTGGATGGATGGATGGATGATGGTTGGATGGATGGATGAATCGACCCTAAGATAGACAGAACTGGTCCAGACCGGCTCCATCAGGTCTGAGACAGACCCTGCAGCATTCAGAGTGACAGCTGCTGTTAGAACAAGAGAACCGGGTCACAAATGGGTTGGCACCGTGCCAATTCTGGAGGCGGTGTGGGTTTGCCCGGTGGTTCTGGTGATTTGCCCGGTGGTTTGTCCAGCAGTTTGTCCGGTGGTCGGTAGTTTATCTGGTAGTTTGTCAGTCGTCTGTAGATGTAAAAGTGAGTTCGCACTGAGCTGTGAGGAACTGAGTCATCAGCTGTGTGGGAGAACTTCCTGACACGGATCACATGACTCTGGATGTTGTTGCTAAGGAACAGAAGAAACCCAAGGATCTGGTACCAAACCGCAGGAACAGAACTTTCTGTCGGGTGTGCCGTTAGTTTGGTACTGATGTACACCCAGATGTTACATCAGAGATGATCCACCTGATGGGTGTTTCTGGGGACAGTTTATAAAAATCTAAAGCCGTGGCAGAAAGAACCGGACGAACGTGTTTTCACATCTTTAATAAAGAAAACCGAAATGCACGTTTAAACTCTGTCTGAATCCTGGACTGATGCCAATCAAACACACGTTTCCCATCATGCTTTGCCTTACCCCACTCTCCACTGTCCTCGCCGCTCTTCGTCTCAGGCGGCCCCTCCAGCTCGTCCTGACCGGCCAGGAAGTCGAAGCCCTTCAGGGCCTCCTCGGTGTCCGGGTCATCGCTGAGGTCAGAGGAGGAGGAGGATGGTTTCTTCCTCACCATCTGTTCGGAACAACACTGTAAATATCACAAATATTAACTTTTCATCAGACGTTAATGTGTGGCGGTTCTGTCTTACAGCAGCCAGGTCCAGGATGGTTCTGTCCTTCGTCCCACTGTCCTCGTCTTCGTCTTCATCACTGAACTCCGCGGCGGCGCTCTCGATGAACCGGAACGCCTCCAACACGGTGGCCGAGTCCGACATGTCGGGTTTACTGCAACACATGGTCCACAGGTTCGGTCTTTGTTTTCAGAACCGTTCAAAGTGCTCAGTCTGGTCCGGTACCTGACCATGCCGCTGTCCTTCAGTGAGGACGGCTCGGTTCCGTTCACCAAAGGCTCGGTTCTTCTCTCTGACGGTTTGTCTCTGGAGCCTCCGGTCAGACCGAGCAGAACCCTGACCCGCTGAGACTTCACATCCAGAATGGTGTCTGTGTACCCGACCTCCTGCAGGTACCTGAGACACGAGTCAGAGGTTAGTCTGGACCCGTTTGTGGTTCTGACCCGTGTGCAAGTCCAACACGTGTTCTCGGCTCTTCATTAAAGGAGAAAACCTCAGATTTTACTTTAAAAATAAACATTCGTTCAGAAATGTTCAGTCAGTTTTTAAACTAAAACATGGTTCTGGTCCCAGCACTGATTTGGACCCTGGGTTCTGAAACTGCAGCTCCACTGTTTCCTGAGCTCATTTCTGGTTCAGAACCGACTCAGAGACGTTTGGACCGATAACCTGAAGGAGACGGTAAATGTCCTCACACAGAGTTTGTTGTTATTTGTTTACTGTAAACAGGAACAGAACCGGGTCCCCTCAGAACTCTTCAAAGGTCCATCAGAACCATCCGAACCACTAATCTCATACCGCAGGTGTATTTTTACCTGTTAAGAGTTTAGTCTCCGCCCACACGCTCTAATAAAAACAGCGTACCACCACACGGTACCACCATCCACATCAATGATCCAAACAGAGACAGAACCTTAGACAGAACCAGAGCTTAGAGACTGGCAAAGGTCCATTTTATTCAGAACCATCAGGAACTGTCAGAACTTCATCAGAACCTTCATACGGATTAGAGAACAATGTCAGAACTACATTGGTACCGGTCAGAACATCATCAGAACTTTAGTGGTACCAGCCTACAGGATGGTGTTCTGTCAGCTCAGAACATCTGACTCCGTCCTCATCAGAACCCTCAGAGTCCATCAGCAGAAGTTTCAGAACAAACTCAGATATATGAACCTTACCTTCAGTTTGGACCCTAGAGAAACGGACCCCGCTGACCCGAGAGCAGAGTTTAATCCTTGGGTTGGTTCTGAGGAACATCCAGTGTTTGTTCATAGAATGGACCCCCGCCCCCACCAGCCCCCTCTTCCCAGTACCAGCCTCCCCGATCGCAGTAGGTTCCACACAATCCTCCATTCACTGAGACACACACACACACACACACATCTGGGATGTCAGGGTGTGTTTAAGACTTTGTCTCGCAGCAGATAATAAATCTTCAATATGGACCCAAACAACCCGGTTCTATTGGACCCAGATTGTGTTTGACTGGACCTTAATGGTTACAGAACAAGAAATAAGCAGAACCAAAACCAGACTAAAACTCAAACCTGTGCTGAGTTCACTGTCATCTGTAAACTCTGAGCTTTCTGGCCTCTGATTGGTCTACCTGCTGATGATGTCACACACACCTGGAGAACATTTCGTGGGTCAGAACACGTTGGAGGGAAACAACCTTCGGACCCTTTGATGTGTTCAGACTCGTGGTGATCCACAGGTATGTGTGTGTGTGTTTCTGTGTGTCCTCACTGTCTCAGCAGCTGTCGTCCTTGTGTCCAGCTCAGCTGATGGCTGCTGTTTGGAGGACTCGGAGTTTCACTGTCGTTTCCTTCATCTGAGGCAGAAACACAGAGAGACGATGGATCAATCAAGCCTACATGATCACAACATGCACACCTGCAGGAAGTGTTCATGAACACAACACACACAGCTGCTGGAAGTGTCCGTGAACACAACGCGCACACCTGCAGGAAGTGTCCATGAACACAACATGCACACCTGCAGGAAATGTCCATGAACACAACACGCACACCTGCAGGAAGTGTCCATGAACACAACGCACACACACCTGCAGGAAGTGTTCATGATCACAACACGCACACCTGCAGGAAGTGTTCATGAACACAACATACACCAGCAGGAAGTGTCCATGAACACAACACACACACACCTGCAGG